TTTAAATATAAAAAATAGAAATATTTGTACTGAAAGAAAAAAACGCTTTGGCATGCAAAATAAGAGAAATTAAAACGAGAAAAGGAAGGAAAGCCGCTTATGTGTGGAAATTGAATGCACCACTTATTTTTCATCTCTAATGACCGTGCATATTTAACATAAGAATGAAATTAAAAACTAAATTGAATTAGATATATTTTATTCTTCTACTCCAAAGTGACACCCATCCATCGAATGGACAGCTCTTCAGCAATGAAAAGTTCTTTCATTTGTAATATGCAACATTGTGTTTCAAATTTTTAAAACCATCAAGCCATACAAATACACAACAGTAAACGGTAAAATAGCGCGCGAAATCGAGATACACCTATTGGAGGATTCGAGTTGATGCATAATTTTGTCAAATATAAAAAAAAGGAACTCGATATTTCCTTTACATTGTTATAAACTGTATTTAACAAGTGCCAAATTTTGTAACAATGAAAATCTCCGATAAAGCGTACTAATGATTATCTTTGTCATGTTGCTTATTATCATAGTGACAATCGTATAAAAAATCAAAGTATTCAGGGCGTTATTTTTTGGTGCATTTCGATTCTCTGTTGCATTGAAACTAAATTTGGTAGCTTGAACTAGATGTTTAGATGCAGAATTATTACAATAAAACGTTTTTAATCTTGCAATTGTAAAAATATTTCATGTAAATGTAGAGTTGCTTCTCTAAAAATGAATTGCCATGTCAATATGAAGATTTTATATATACATATATATTTTATATTAGGACTGTTTTAAAATATTTGTCAGCATTTTTAACGAAGTATAATAATTTTGTACCTAATTTTTCTCAAAAAGTTTATTGAAGACTTTTATACAACAACCAAAAGTTTTTCTTAGGAGTACGGCTGCTCATTTTCTCAATTTCTTAAATAGGTAAGTATCTTCATATCAAGCGGCCAAATGTTGTAACAGTTGGGTGCCAAAGGTTAGAACTGTGGATAATTTATATAGCTAATATGCAACATTTTCTCCATGGTAGCAAATCAATTGTTACTTATAGCACACTTGATCTAAATATTGCAGGAATTGCAAAATAAGATTAAAAATAATATCCTTAATAGTGGTGTCATTAGCGATCCTGACCTAGCATACATCATAAACTTGGAAAAAATGTAAGGAATGTAAAAATTTATAGTACAGTGATCTGAAATGTGCGAAAGCTTGTAAGAAAGAGGTTATAGCAATAAATAACATATATACATATTAAATTCAAGTACTTTACTAATTAAATGATACATGTACTTTAGAAATACGTAAAATCATCAAGCAGGTGCAAAGTATAACTTCAGCACCCGGAAAAGTGCATTGGCGCTCGAGTTACGAACGATATTTTGTTTACCGTGGTCGCAGAGTTTGCCACGCTTTACGCCCATAGTGAAAAAAAAATTATTTTTCACTTTGATCTTTTTTTTTATCTTTGACATTTACTGCGCTCTCGATAAAAAAAAAGTTCGCATCTAGTGTGCATCCAACTAGGCAAGCACAAGGAGTCCCTCAGACCTACCACTTACGCAATCAGGTACGATAACTACTATTTGTTTTGTATTCATTAATCAACCTAGGGAACAATTATCAGTCATGATTTTCATTAACATCCTACAAAAAGTTATAAGTGCATCATTGTTGTCGATAGGATACTTTATTATGCAAAAGCAAATTGTTTAACTCTATTTTGTAATGCAAATACACGGATCGAACAAAGTTATGAATATTAACAAGAAATTCCAGTAAAAATTGGAAGACAAAGAATTAGGATGTGTGCGTGACCTTTCACGTACTAGCCCAAAAAGTATCCAACGTGATACATTTATCAAGCTAGCAGCACCAAGTAACAACCCCTATTTCTAAATCTATGGACAATCCGTCGCTTGTTTGTTGTTATTTATTGCGCAAAAACAAAATTTACAAAACTGAAATTTAAATTTTGTTAGTCCAATGTTTCTAGAAAAGAAAATATTGTTATAACTTATACACCTACACACTGATTTTTATGTAAAATCTTTTTTTTTTTTGGCTGTTGAAATAATCAACAATTAATATACTGAGTTGTCACTGTCGCTGGAATGAACGTATATAGTTTTACTACAAATTAAAATGAACTGTCGTTATTTTGGACCCCCCCCCCTTCTCTGAAATAAGCTAATGCTAGCTGCTGTGCTAAATGGGAGGGTCTGTAAAACAAAAATTATTGTTGAGATAAAATTTAAGAAGCTTAATTGTGTCCCAGTTATTTCCATTTATACGTTCAATCACAGCACAAGTAATTTAATTACATCACAGATCTTTTAAAACACGAATTTACAATGAAAGACCTGCAAGTATGAATTAAAAATACGATTCTTACAGTAAAATGTGATGCGTTGAATATATTTTTGTAAAACGTCAAAACAACAATTAAAGGATCCTGCTGGGCTTTTTCTTCCACACTCTTAGTGCGTAATAATATTCTATAAATTCTCTTGCGGCACAACAGTTACAAACAATTATTGGTTTGTAGTAAACATACTGCGATTATGAAAAAAAGAGATTTTTTCGAAGAAAAATATTTTTGCAAGCCCACAACATAATCATTAGAGGGCCTTTTGAGTTTTCGAAACATTCGCAGATGCGCATAAAGCGAAAAATCTCAATAGCACTTTTCAACAATAATCTCCGTATCACTAAGAAATTCTTGACTTTACTACAATGACAAGCTTAGATGTACAAAAGAACGATTTGTAAGTATTTTGTTGTAATCATAAATTACCTTCACATTATGAGTAGCATAAGACCAGAGAAAATTTCTTTTTTCCACTTTTTAATGTTTTTAGGCATCTTTCTGCAATTTTTTTAAGTCAATGTACGACAAAAAGTGCACAAATATCTTTTGGCATACTGTTTTCACATTTTTTTCACAAATTTGCTTGTTACTTTACACTAAAAATTCGTAGAAAGTCGCTCGTACTAAGAAAATAACGTACAAAACGTAGGCTGCAGCTCTTTTTTTTAAAGGTTTTAAAATATGGTCCAAGTCAAAGTATGATAATTATAAGTTTCAATTACAGAGAAAGGATTTAACGATGTAATTAACTATGAATTTTTATATTTTTTTAACTTTCAAGGATTCTGACACTCAGATTTTTTGACGTTTAAAATAATAAATAAAATTTTGTTATAAGTTCTACATTTTTCTATTTCATAAGACACAAGATGACCTTTTGGTGTGAAATGATCCTGCTCCGTGTGGTGCTTTAATCGTCGTTCTCTCGCAAGGAGGTTGATGGAGATTACGCCTGTTATCACCATGACTCTGAAGTGTGCAACGTTGCGTGCAACGAAAATAAAAAAAAAAAATTTTTTTTTTTTTAAATTAAAGTGCTTTAAATGCTTTAACAAGCGATAAGAAAGGCTCCTATCAATTTTTAAATCATAAAAATTTACCCTTCTCGAGATATAAGTGTTTAAAGATTGATTCGAAAGTAAAGGCGTCAAAAATGCGTTTAGACCTTTCAAACTATTAAAGTGAGATTCATATAGTGTACATGAATTGAGGTAAGCCTCTGTCTACGCAATAACTCATAAAAACCATAAAAAAAAGAGCTCCTCGCTATGATACCGTCAGGATATAGCAATGACCCATATAACTCCATAACCCAATAAAGTTAAAATAGGCTGCATATGCATGTACAAATGACTTTAAAAATAAAAAATTATTCATACCGATACTATGATCTTAGTACTAGTAAAATAAAATAACTGAAAATGTATATTTCCCATCCTCGAAAACTTGATATATTGGATATTTCATTGTGGAAATATCCAGGATAAACCAAAAGTTTGAGACATTCTAATTAAAAAGGCTGTACGACACCGAAGATGGCAGGGAAAACAGAATAATCAATAAGAACGTACAATAGTTGAAGCATTTTTATCGCAGACTCCGAGACTGTGCGATAGGCGCAGGTTATCCTCAAGGCTCCTATTCTTTGAACTTGGATGATTTTCACTCTCTTCTTTTCGACGTTCATTTCATCTTCCGATTTCTCAGCCCCGTACAAAATAATAGACTGGGCCGTAGACATGAGGGGCCTGCGCTTTGCAGGTTTTGGACCTCTAACGTTCGACATGATTCGGCTTAATGCTGCTACTCTTACCGACACTTTGTCTGCTGCTTGCCTAAGGTGACTCTAAAACGTGAGCTTTCTATCCGGCGTCACCCCTAGGTATTTTACAATAGACGAATTTAGGCTGTAGGAGAAACAGAAAGAAGCAGGCATTAAAAAATAGAAATGGCTAGAGCGCTTCAAAAATATTT